AAAAAGAGCTAGTTAAAATATTAATTTCTTAAAAAATTTACCCATCGGTCCCAAATTATAATATACTTTTGGACAAAAATCTTGCATGTCATTAAACATCATTTAACACACTTAACTTTTTTAAAATAAAAATATATACTTTTAAAAATATCCTTCCTTTAATATATTAAAAGGAGAGGGAGATATAAATTAAATATAGAGAGAGAACAAGAGTGATATTGAAATAAAACTATTAATGAAACTTAAATATTTTCAAAACGTCTTATATTTTGAGAGGTCAAAATTTTTTCAAGAGTATCTTATGATTTGAGATGTAGGGAGTTCATCTTTTTGATAATACTCTCATTAAATATCTTACACAAATGCCTTAATAATGATAATGATAATAATGAATGAAGTAGGAAAATATTTGAAATATAAAAATTACTAATTTTTTTGTATTTTAGACTAAGTGGGGTTTTTGGTTTTTAGAAAATGTATTACATTGTGATCGATGGAATAGATTATCATGTAGCATTAATGCATTTTAATGTTCATTGTGTCATGGAGTTCTAATGTTGCTATGAGAAAGGTTTCCTTTTTCACCTTACTATAACAAGAGAAACTTCCCTTCCCTTTGAGAATTAGATTGCGTTTGTGGCTGAGATTATATTGGAAACCACCAAAATTATATTATCCACTTAACTTTCACTACTAAATCATGGTCAGTATTTTCTAACCAAAAATTTAATACACACTCAAGCTATACAAAATAACATTCACAATTTTCACAGGGCATCTACAATTGAGCTCATTCATTTATATTCATGTGACAAATATTTTCCACCAGTATACATCAATGACAAAAAAAACAAGTCAATCTAAGAAAATGACAGTCCAAGACGATATAATCCTCATTTTCCTCTTTTATGACGAAATACATGTTGGTCTGAAATTTCTTTGGGCCAGTCGTATTGCTCTGACATTAACATATGATGCCTTCATGCAACACCAACAATTTTTGCTTAAAATATGTTAGTTTTTTTGATACAAACATGGAGGGTAATTCTGTCACTTTATACACCACCATTAAAGTGAGAGAAGCTCAATCAAAAAAGAGTAGATGGCATGCCAAGGGCAGCCTATGTAGCATCTCACGCCACAACTGCATTTCAAGTGGGGGTAGACAAGCATAAAACTTTTAAGTGGTTTACATGGATGAAGACAAGTCAAAGATCTTGTTCTTAGGAACTATCAATTATTCATTTGAATTTATACTTATTATTTGCAAGAGTTTGGTTGTCATTAACTCATTTCATATCAAACAAATTTTTAGAATGATTTTAGCTATGGATGATGATGATGAGGATGATGATGATGATGATGATGATGATGATGATGATGATGATGATGATGATGATGATATGATGATGATGATGATATGATATTATTATTATTATTATTATTATTAGTTTTCTTTAGATTGTTACTTTTAGTATCCATAAACATCATGCCCTCTATTTGGTTCAAGGTTTGTTGAAGGGAGGGAAGGGGAGGTGAGTTATTTTCCTCTTTATTTATTAAATTTTTTATATTAAATATGTTTAAGAATAGTTTATTTCATTAAAATAAACTAAACTATTTGATTAAATATATGCCAAGTTCTATATATTCATGACATATCTTCTATTTTTGAAAGAGGGACTTCTTTTTATTTTTAATGTTTTATCTACTATTTTTTTCTTCATTTTTCTTTTTTCTTCTTATTGCCTGATCTTGTACTTTTTTTGTTGCAAAAGTTTCAGGTCTATTTAATTTTTATTCTTCTTCTTTTTTCTTTCTTTTTAGTCTCTTAGTTTGTTTTCATCATCTTTCATTCTTTCCTTTTTTTTTTTTCTCCATCAAATGACTCTTGATATCATGTTAAATTCTTTTTATTAAGTATGTTTAAAAATGGTTTATTTTATTAAAATAACTCAAGTCATTTAGTTAGAACATTTTAAGTATGATATATTCATAATTTATTTTTTAATTTTGTAGATTTAGAACTTTTTTATCATTAATGTTGTTTGGTCCAAAAAGTTTTTAAGGCTCCCCTCCCCTCATTTATTTCTAAAAACTTTTAGCCTCTAGGCTTCAGCCTCTCCCCTCCAAAAGCATGATTTTTTAGGGTGAGATATTGAAGATAAATTTTAGGAAAAAGTTTAGTTAAGGATCACTATAGAAAATTAATTTTAGGTGGGTTAGAAAAATTCTAACATTTCAGTTCAGTCCCAAAAAAAAAAAGTCAAAAACATTTCGATGGTAAAAAGATCAAAATACCTTCAATTGTTATGCAGAATCACTAGTGTTGTTAATTTTCTTATTACACTAATTAATTTACCAATATCGCTTGTAAATTACATCCATTGATTAGACAATCATTAACATTATCTATTGATTTGCTAACTTGTTAATTTACAAATATCAATTGTAAATTACAAGACATGTCAGTCATTTATAATTAATATTAGTAAATTACAAAATTTGTCAGTAGTTTTTTACAACTGATGTTAGTAAATTAATAAGTAAAGTTAACAATTTAACAATTGATGCTGCTATTTATGATTGAAAAATTGATACCAAGTCTTATAAAATTATTGACATGTCAACTCATGTAATTTGTAACTCATATTTGTAATTAACAAGTAAAATAAAAAAATCAACAACTAATGATTCTGCATAATAAGTTAAAGGTATTTTTATCTTTTTACTGTCAAAATTCTTTTGACTTTTTTCTCTTAAAATGAAATTAAAATGTCAAAATTTTTTGAACTCACATAAAATTAGTTCTCTATAGTGGTCCTTAACTAAAATTCTCCTTGAATTTTATGTTAACATAATTAGTGTTATACAAATTTTAAAATGCCTCTTCTACCCCATCTAAATGTTATGCCCTAATCCTCCATCTCTCCCACTGGTCGCGTCCGTTGTATCTTTTACAAAAGAATAGAGTAAAATTAAATCCTAGTGTATGGTGAAATTGATAGGTTGTGTTATAACTTTTTCCCTAATAAATAAAAAGAACATAAAAATGAACATAATTATACTCCCTCCGTCCCATTTATAAGTCCCATTTTAGAAGGTGTATTGGTCCCATTATAAGTCACGGTGTGTCTTTTAGGTAATATTTGAAGGTATTTCTAAAATTACCCTTCATGAGAGAGAAAAAGTAACAGGATATTATTTTTTAAATTTGAATAGGGGTATGTTGAAATTTTACTTACTTTTATTCTTTATACATTATATTGGTATTGATGATTTGATAGAAATGACTATAAATAGGACCGATATTTCATAAGAATTAAATAATTAATCAATTGCCGCTCTTAAACCAAACAAGAAATCATTGAAATATATCCCCTCCCTTCAAATAATTATTGAAACTTCTCATCTTCCCCTCCAATTAAACCATATAATGAATCATTAAAATTTCACCCTTCTCTCCATTGAACAGAACATTGCATAACAGGATCTCGAGCTTGCCCTTAAAAATTTTAAATCACTCATTGCGTTCCTAAAGTAAAGAGTAATTGAAGTATCGAACTATTAAAATTGATGTTCAGAAAGAGACTAATTCCTCAGAGACTTGGCCATGGAAACAAGAAAATATATAGTAGGTCCAAAAAAAGAAAATACAATTGCTCATCATATAATTTTAGCATGTTTTAATATTAATTTCTAAAGTTTTTTTGGCATTGCTCCAATTCCTTTAAATTTAATCAATTTGCAATGTCAGCGCTGGTTGTCACTAACAAAGTTAAGTCTGAAAGTGACTTTTCTACTTATCTATCCTAACTATTCATCTTATCGATCTCACGTTTAAAAATTCTAATTTAATGTTTTACATTTTTTAATCTTTTACTCAATTTTATAAAACTTATCAAAATTTTAACAAGTTAACATACAAAATAATTCCAAAACATCACAAATAGATAAAAACTTAAAAGGACTTGAAAGAATAAAAAATATAAAAATTAATTTCAAAATATACTAAAAGTTGAGTAACCAACAGTTTCAGTACAAAGAACAAAAATTGACACGCCCATAAGCCTCATTTCCTCTCGCCAAAGTTTCCATATTGACCCATTTGGTAGTACAGGGGAGTTTTTTATAGAAATGAAGAAAGAAGAAAAAGTGAGGTGAAAATGAAGTTTTAAAGCATGTTTGGTAAATATATGAAAGTAAGATATAATTTCTAAGAGAGAGTCACATTCAATTACTACTCAAATAAATTATTCATAAATAAAGATCAATATGAAATGAATTATTATTAAAATAAAAACATGACTTTTTTTTAATTGAACTTATTATTAGTTTTTACATGCGAATAATTTGCTCAAATGGTCATTAAATGTGATTCTCTCAATTTTTAATTAAAATACATATTTATAATATGAAAATATCAAAAATGCTCACGAACCAATTCCATGAGAAGTCAATTCCATCAATTTTGATGGATGTGAGTTTTCAAAATAACAAATTTCAATATACCAAACACTTCATTTTTCCAATTTCACCTCCACTTTTCCAGTTTCAATTCTATCATACCAAACAGGGTATAAAGGTTCTTATTCTTATGTATGAGTAGAGAAATGGCTATTACCCAAGCATGTGGTCGAATTGATGATGTAATAATTAAATAAAAATAATATTATATGTATGTATAAAATAAATATAAGACAAAAATATAATATGTTAATAAAATGACAAAACATGACCGTAAATTAATAATATTATAAATTATAATTTTATAATTTGTCAAATATAAATGAATCTTTATTAAATTAGGTATGAATAAATTCAAAAATATCTATATTTATATTTATAATTGTCAATATCTTTATAAAAAAATAATCTCAAATCATATTTTATGTAAGTGAATTTTTAACATGCAAATTAGAAACATATATGACGTGGTTACCAACAACGTTTAATGGAAAATTAACGATTGATTTTTTTTAACTAATTTCCACGCACTGTTTGATAATAATTTCTTAGCTTCAATATTGATAAAAACATTAAATGGACAACGAATTGATGTGTCGTTCTAGAGAACTCAAGTCTAAAATCCATCGCAAGACAACCAACTTTCGCTTCAGTAGATGAAGTATATCTCTACCCAACAACTCGCTAAACGTGAGACCACAAAATCTTGAGGTTCAACTGCAAGGAAACAGGCATCAGAAAACTACAAGAAATATGCTAGCATTTTGCTCCAGCACTCCGTGCTTTCAAAGGTCTTGAACGCTCAAGCCTGCAAATATTAAGAGATTATAGTGGTAAGATCACACAACAAACTAATTTACGCTCAACTTTTTTGTTATGAATGTTAGCAGCACCTTCGGATTTATCTTGAAACTAAATTTCTTCCCTGGTCAATTTTAAACATATAATGTTGTGGAATTTAGTTGAGAGAGAGAGGAAAAGAGAGAAGAAAAATAGAGGTAGCGGGAAACAGAGAAAGAGAGATATCTGAATAATGCAAATATAAAAGAATCATGTTCAAGAATCAGGTGCATTGCCTTATATCCTAACCCAACCAAATCCCATCTAAATCCTACAAATATAAGGATAATATTCAACTCCTGTCTAAATCCTACTAATATAATTTCATTCCTATTAAAATCCTAACTATAACTGTAACTAATTATTAATCCTCTTCTTATTTACAATTACATATCATATAACTACCAGAAGAATGTCACCATACAACCCCTTACCCCATTAAGACCGCCAAAAAAATCCCAAAACAAAGAGAAAATTTATCCAAAGGTATATGAATGATGTTATCGTAGCAGTTTTGAGATTGAATATAGAGCATGCAACAAGTTTATTGATTTGAAAAATAATACAATCATGAAAAACTTTCAAATCATAGTAATTTCCAAGAGTACTTACTAGCTCAAATGCCACATGCAACAAGATACCAAACAAATACAGTTTCAGTCTGATGAGGAAGAACGTAAACTTCATCCAAATAACATTTTTACTTGTTAAAGCAATCACAATTTGCCATACGATGATAACTAATATTATCAGAATTAGAAGATAAAATATTACCCAAAACAGAAAATTTATCCATCACTAACCTGGAGGAAGTGATTGCTTCAATTTATCAGCCTTCTCTGGGTCAAACACACAGAGAGTGTAGAGATACTTGGAACATCGAACCTTGAACTTAACAACATCTCTGCTCCTCTTGATCTTCACTGACCTTGCATCTTTTCTTCGGGCAGTGAGAAGAAAGTCCTTAATCTCATGGATTTGCTTAGGCTGTATAGAACAATGCAAAGACATTAGAAAAGAAAAGGCGTAATTAAAGCAGAACTGACATAATACATGCGCCAACTTGGTGAGGCATTGACATTTGAGGAACTTAAACATGACGAGCGACTAGATTCTATAAGTAAAATATGCATCCAGAAAAATTACTGGTTATGAACTAATCCGAAGATATGGTAACACATTTACCAAATTTTCAACTATTCGAATGGTTTCATTAATTTAGCATAAACTTATAGAGTATCAATGACGAAAACCAGAAATTTAACTTAAGTTTGATTCAGTTTAATATAGTCTATAACAACATCCAGATTTTAAACGAATAAGCTACCAACCAGTTCATTCAACATATCAACAACATTAATCAGCAAAAGCTCGCATCCAAGTTACTTGAATATTCAATTCCTAAGATTGTGCCTGGATGCACAAATCCCATATTTCTGAACAGTGTTCCCAAATGTTCCTAAACACTAAAAAATTATTCAGTTGGATGATATTTAAAGAATGAGAATATACTTAATGAAACAACAATGAGAAAGTTGTTAAAACATGATTATGCAGTAAACGTACAACAACTTGCACAGTTTAAGCATAATGAAATCGTGTCCCCATATCACAAGTGCAAAAATTAAGTTAACCCATGTGGACCCATTCTAGTTCTTCCATTATAAAGTGAATGAAGATAAGAAACGGAAACTTCATTGATTACAATGAAAAGAAAGACGAGATGAACAATAGAAATAGGGTACCATCGTGAAGACCGTGACCGTCTGATTCAACTGCTAAAAAAGCTCCGAGCTCCGGCACTACGGCACACAAGAAGTTGTTGAGGGTAGAAGAGGGGAATTGCAACGGCTAATAAACCCTAGCCTGGTTTCTTCTATCCGCCCAAAGGTCTGTATGGGCCTCGGCCCAATCAAGGGTAGGCTTAAAAAATAAAAAGCATGATTCTATCACAAAAAAAGGCATGAATATATATATATATATATATTATAAATAAATATGTGTGGGTAGAAAATATTTTCAACTGAAGGATATTTTATTTGGTGTTGAGATGTTCTGAATCTATATCTTTGGAATTAGCAAAATTTAATTATATGAAAAATGGAGTTAAATGTTGATCGGCGATATATAGTTTTTTTAAAATTCAAATTGCATGATATAATGTAGAGATACGATACGATATGTATTTGATATGTTAATATTTATTATTAAAAACATGAGAACCTATTTTCTAAGAAATTTTAATGTTTAATTTTAAAAATCATAATAAGATATTAAAAATAATAATATAAGAATCTCAAGTAAAATTTAATTTCTTAAAAAATGATTTGAAGTGTTGATTTTAAAATATCCAAATATAGAAATAGGATAGTACACTTCTTGCTCAAAAATCATATCATAGCGTGCCTTCCAAATCCGCCACAATAAGATCAAGATTAATGGTCACGAAGCTGTAAGGTGTTGCAGCAGCCATGCACCTAAATGATAAGCAGAATTGGTTTCAAGTCTGATCCCTAAAGTAGACCCAAACCACAAAAGCCTCTCCCTCTCACAAAATAATAGCATGTGCCAAACAGATTCCTACAAATCATTACAAAACAAATAAAAAGATGAGTTGCACAATGCTTTTTCCATAGAGCATCCCCAGTTGGAATATGATCCACGAATCTTCCTCATATGATCAGCGGATCTTCCCAAAATCTGAAATTTAAGCCATTTCCAATTGAGTAACAGTAGTGATACTGCAGCAATAAACGACCCTCGAGCAGGGACGAATCTAGACTTAAATAGTCCTTTGGTAAAAAAAAAATATAATTTTTATTTATAAAAAAATGTTAAAATAGATTTTAGGCCCCTCACTTTTTGTTTTATTTTCAAGTCACCCCAATTCATCACTTTCTAGATTCGTTACTGCCCTCAAGTAGACTAGACCGCGCTAAGAGGATCGTCCACCCTTAATAGCCCTCAATTTCCCCTTCCTGTCTCTGCCGTACACTTCCTTCTCACTCTTGTCCTGCTTTCTTGGCCTCCCAATCCCCCAATCTGATAATCTACAAACTCTGGTAAGCTAATTTGGATCCGATTGGTGATTTAATTATACTCACTTAATGAGTACTTCATGTGATATGATGGCAACGATGTGATTTCATTGAATGGCTATCAAAAATTTTGTTATTTAATATTTAAAAAGTTTGAAATTTTAAATTTTTGGAAGTATAATATAAATAATGAATATTCTGATCATATTAATTGTTTTGAATTTTTTTAAAAAATATCTTTTAATAATTTTTAAATATTCATAAAATTCAATGATTATAAGTGAAACACTAAGGCCATGTTTGGTATCATTGAATTGATAAGGTGAAAATAGAATCAGAGATGGAATTCTAATTTAAACATGATTGGTATGCAGGAACCACAATTCTTAAGAATATTAATTTCATCAAAAATGCTAGAATTCAATTCTATCATATTAATTATGGAGTTACTTTAATTCCCTTAAATTCATTTTGTGGACCCTACTACCCTCATCTTTTTTATCCATTTATGATGAGGTAAGTCTTTTTAATTTTGAGAAAAAATGGCAATTTGGTCTTTTCTTATTTTAAGTACATATACAAATTAATATTATATTAAAATTCCATCTTCACATCAAACACACTTTTAAAACTCAATTTTATTTTGATTTCAATTCCAATTTCAATTCCAATTCTGATTTTGATTTTAATTTCGATTCTATTAAAAACTCTTTCATCATACCAAACAAGGGCTAAGACCCTATTTGGTATGATGGAATTCTAAGTCTGGAAATGGAATCATAAAGGGATTCTTGATGTAAGTTTGTTTGGTATTATAGATTTTGGATTCATTGGAATTCCAATTCCAACAAAATATGTAGAATCCAATTCCATCTCAAGCTCTATGAAATCCATTTGATTCTCTAGAATTAAATTTTAAAGCCACTTCTACCCTCATCACTGTCTGTCTCCTCCACGACTCCACCCTCATCCATCATCATTTGCTTCACCTTCAACCGCCTCTAACTACTTGCCTTCAACTTCATTGTTAAACTCCAATCATCATTGCCGCTTTTGTTGCTGTGATGAACCAGCTAAAGGACATGTGATTTACAAGAACAAAAAATACAAAAGGTAAACCTGGTGGGATGATAGCACAGAGGTCGCCCAACTATGGAATCAAGTTCGACAATTCTCTCATGGGGATTTTGTGGGGTATGAATATGCTTCAAATTTTTTATAGTTCAACTCATATTTCTAAAAATTATGGAGATCTTCGTATGGTAGCAATGGTCAAGGGGAGAGACGAACATGAGAGAGATGATTTTTTTTAAAGGATATTTTGATCATTTCATATTTTAAATACATATATATTAAAATTAAATCAGAATTTCATCTCCATACTAAATATATTTTTAAAATTTAATTTTATTTTGATTTTAATTTTAATTTTAATTTTAATTTCATCAAAAACTTTTCCACCATATCAAATAAGACCTAAGTGAGGGTAACATTCAAAGAATCCAAATACAATCTTGCATTATAAGTTTTTTTTTTTTAATGCAATGAAAGTTTTGATAGTTCATTTTTCCGTAAAAATTTCCTCCTTTCTTCTACTTCTGCATAACATTTCAAGAGCCATCCATCGCTGTCCTCTCGTCCCAAATCTGGTTTCCCGCGCATCTGGATGAAGTTGATGGTTACGATTGGATTCCTCACACTCCTGATGCTAGCGTCGTTTTATTAAGTGAATTGTCTCCCACCATTTGATCAATTTGACGGCTGCGATTTCGCTTCTGGTCCTGACCGCACAAAAGCGACCATGAGAGAAACCGAACGCCGGCTACAGTCCGTTGAGAGTCTGGCGACTGTTTTAATGCCTTTATCCACAAGTTCAGAAATTGCGAGGATATGAAGTGAACGGCAATGGCTTCAGTAGCTTCATCTTCATCGTTTTTCCCTGCCCTCACACGATCGTATTTTCCTCCATGGGGTAACGGAAACAAAACAGCGAAGTCCAATTTTCTGAGGATCGTCACTCGCTCTTGTCTTGATGATAGTTCCTCTCTGTCTCAAGCAGCGCAATACACTGTATGATTTCTAGCTGGACTTTAACTCCCAAAATCTCTATTCAAACGGTGTTTTTCTCTCTCTAATCACGCTGTTTACATACACACACGCATATGAAGTTCTTCGAACAGAATCTGTCGATAATTAACTTTGATTCAGCATTTTCACTAACACCAGCGAACAATGGCTCACATTGTATTTTGCGCAATGTGTTCCTATTTGATGGAAATTGTTTTTGTTATGGATCAAATCCCCTTTTTCGGCAGTTAAGTCTTATACAATTGCTTTGCTTATATTTAACTAAATAGCGTGGTATTGAAACGCAATTGATCTCTTCCTGCTCTTCTCTTTAATTGTTCATTTCTATGAATTGATTAGTGATATATTTTTCACTACCAGGTGGATACATACGTAAAGAGTGGCATGGTCATAGGATTGGGGTCTGGTCAGGCTTCTGGTTTGGCCATCAGGCATTTGGGCCAGCAACTTCGTACTGGTGCTTTAAAGAATGTAGTAGGGATCCCTATGTGAGTCCAATACCCTTGTGTAACTATGTTGGATGTTTTGATTTCATTTATATGCCAATTTCAATTTTGGGTTTCTTCGTCCTTTTTCACACTTCTTTCCTTTGAATTATTATTGTTTTAAACAAAGGGTATAACAGGTGTAGATTTAGATCACTGTTGTTCGTTATGCCATACCACTTCCAATTAGGAACTTAACGTGTAACTTCCGCCGAATCAGGTGAGATAGATGCTTTGCTCTATGCAGGTCTGTCACAAGTGCAAGCGAGGCGGCGAAGGCAGGAATTCCACTGGATAGCTACCAAGAGGGTTCTCAAGTGTGCACAAAATGATTATAATCTTATACATTTTCCATTATTGTTTCACGAGCATATCTTGTTTAATAAGGCTTTTGGACGTTTGCTAGAAATTTTAGAAGGACGTGATGACTTGTTAGCATTCCTTTGTAAAGGCTTTGCCAAAATAGAATTTTCTAACTTGTGCATTTCTTGAAACTTCTTTTGATACATTAGATTATCTCTATCCCATAGTGTTGACGACCCACAAAATTAAGTGCATCCGTAACTTTTCTTTTCTTTTCTTTTCTTTTTTGTGAAGTAATTTTTCTGCTTTGTTTGCTGAAAACTTAGATTCATGTCTACTTTCGCTGTTGCAGATTGATTTTGCATTTGATGATGCTGATGTTATAGAAGAAGGATCACTTATTGCGATCATCGGACGCCGGAAATTGCATGGTGAGGAATCCATACTAGAAAAGAAGGTGGGCTACTGTGACTTGCATTTTTTTCCCCTGGTGTTTCTTTTTGATTTTGTGTAGATGAACTTCCATCTTTGGTGATTGAAAATTTGTTTTTTATCCTTTTGCTTCCAGTCCATACTAAATGCTGCCAATAAACTTGTATTTATTATTGAGGAAAACCAGTACAAAGGTGGTTTGGAAGGTTCTATTCCTGTTCTAGTTCAGTCTGTAAGTGGTTATGCAAATTGTTAGGTCAATACTATTTTCTTGTGTGCACATTACTAATAATCAATTTCTATCTTTTCCTAGTTAAACTGGTTGGAAACAGCTGAAGCGATTGATGATATGTTTTTGGGCGATGCTGAGGTTTGCTAGACATACAAACATTTAATAAGTTTTGTCTCATACACATAATGGGAGGTGTTACTGCTTTTTCTATGGTCCAGATAATTAGAATGGCATGTCTTATTGCTAGCTTTCTTGACTTTATAAAAGGTTGTGGACTTAAAATTTGCCATAATTTGTTTTTAAGGAA